GGGGCCGCGGCGACGGCGCGGCGGACGACGGTTTGGGCGACGGCGCGGCCGTCGTCGGCGCCGGCGTGGGCCTCGGCGACGGCGCGGCCGTCGTCGGCGCGGGCGCGGGCGCGGCCGTGTCGACGGCGATGGCGACGGCGCTCACGTTCGCGAAGGCGGCCGCCGCGCCCGCGGCCGCCGCGGCCCCGGCGAGCGCGTCGCCGAGGGCCGCGGCGTCCGCGGCCAGCAGCACGGCCGTCAGCGCCTCGACGTCCGCGCGCGTCGCGACGTCGATCTCGTACGCGACGAGGACCGCGCCGCCGTCGTCGAGGCGCCGCCGCCGCCGCGCGTCCGCGAACGCGACGGCCACGCTCGCCTCGTCGGCGCCGGCGACGTCCGCGATGGTCGCACTGTAGACGGGCGCGTAGACCGCCGCCGTCGCCGCGTCCTGGCCGGCGAAGAGCGCCTCGCCCTCGACGACCGCGGCCGTCGGCGCGGCGGTGCCGCCGACGATCGGCGCCCGCGTGGGCCGCGGGTCCGTCGGCCGCGGCGTCGGCGTCCGGCTCGGCGCCGGCGTCACCGTCGGCGCGAAGGTGCGGTCGTCGTCGTCGTCGTCGTCGAAGAGCAGGTCCTCGACCTCCTCCTTGCCGCCGTAGCCCGCGCCGAAGCCCGCGGCGAAGACGAGGACGATGCACACAAACACGCACCAGCTCCGCCGCGGCGGCCGCTCGTGGCCCAGCGGGTGCGTCTTCGCCTCGGGCGTCACCTCGGCCCAGGACCACGTCGCCCCGTGCTGCACGGGCGCCGTCGCGCCGGGCTTCGTGTGGTCGTAGTGGCCGAAGAGGAAGTGCGCGAGCTGGCGCGTTCGTGATTCATAGACCCAGTCGCGCTCGTAGTGGTCCTCGCGCCGCACCATCGCTTGTGTTCGATGGTCAAGGGCAGCCCGGCGCACGCATCGTCTAGCGTTTCATAAGTCAAACTGGTAAATTCAAGGAACCACGTTGACGCAATAGGTTGCCGTTTTTTTTACGTCGGCGCCTGGGGCAGCCCGAGGATGCGGAGGGCGGCGTCGGTCTGGAACTTGGCGGAGCTGAGCTGGAACCAGAAGTTGACGGACACCGTCGGCCCGTCGGCCGCGGCGGCGACGGCGTGCCACCAGCCGCAGGGCAGGTAGAGGACGTCGCCCGCGCGGACCGCGAGGCGCACGGGCGCCGCGCGGGCAAAGTCCGGGTGGGCGGCGAGGTCCGGCGCGAAGGCGTCCACCGTCGAGTAGACGGACCCCGCGTTGCGGTCGCCGCACGGGTAGAGGAACGGCGTGTCCGCCGGGTGGAAGAGGAGCACGTCCTTCGCGCCGGAGACGACGACGAGCAGGTTCTCCGCCGGGTCGAAGTGGAGCGGCGTCGCCGCGCGGCCGCCGCCGACGTAGGCCACGGGGTTCACGGCCTTGGGCTCCCCGAAGGCCGCGCCGAGGCCCGCGGGCGGCTCGCGCGCGTCTCCAACGAGCTCCGGCCTGGGCAGCACAAGGGTGATTCAACGTCGCTTCAACGTGAGTATTCCGCGCGCGCGTGTTCCGGAAAACGCATCCACGCTTCGAGACCGTTCCGAGAGATGATCGCTCGTCCAAAAATCAGCCGAAACGAGTGGAAAACGACCGAGATATGAGCCTTCGAAGTTGGGAATTTCGCACTCTTGTGCTGCCCTGGCTCCGGCAGCTCCTTGTCGAGCTCCACGCGCGCGCCGTAGAGCGCCGGCGTCTCGCGGCGGGCGTCGTCGAGGAGGTCGCCAAAGGGGACGACGGCGTGGTCGTAGAGGGCCACGCGGCCCACGCGGCCGAAGACGCGGCCCGCGGGGTCGCGGCGGCACCGCACGGGCCGCGCGCCGCACCTCGCCCGGAGGTAGGCCGGCGTCCAGGACACGCAGGGCTTCCAGGCCGCGGCGGCGCCCCGGAGCACGACGGGCTCGTTCGCCGCGACGTAGGTCCGCCGGAAGTCGGCGCCGCGGCGCGCGACGCGCGGCGGCGCCGCCGCCGCGCGCCGCCGCCGGAACCCGGCGCCGAGGCCGCACTTGCAGTAGCTCCGGTCGACCTCGCCCATGCCGCGGTCCCGGCCCGCGGCCGTCGCGTCGACGGGGGCGTCCGCCGCGAAGGGCGCGACCTCGCGCGCGCCGAGCTCGTCGGCGAGCCGGTTCCGGAGCTCTTCCGCGAGCTCGAGCTCGTCCATGGGCGCCGCGAAGGCCCCGCCGCAGCGCCTCAGGCGCGCCGCGTCCGCGAAGGCGCCGAGCGTGCGGACGTAGGCGCCCCGCAGCGCGCCGCGCAGCCGCTCGCCGCGCAGGCGATGGTCCACCATGCGCGCGTCCGCGCGCGGGGCGTCGACGAGCCAGACGACGTCGGCGTCGACCTCGTACCAGCGCTCGTCGTCCTCGCCGAGCGTCCCGGCCTCGCGCGCGGCGAGGAAGGCCTTGAACGAGGCCATGTGTAGGAAGGGGCTGCTATCGAGGGGCCACCATCGGCCGCGGCAAACGCTTTGTTGAACCACGCATGAAGCCATCGATGCCTTTTCAGGAGATCACTCGCCGCCTCGCAAGGCGCATCGGCCCGCACGAATCCGCCCGCGACTGCTGGCACAAAACTTACAAAAACACAAAGTCAACGATGCTCCCGCGCGACCTCGAGAAGCACGTCGCCGGCGCCGAGGCGCTCCTCGCCGCCTGCGCCGCGTCGCCGGCCCTCCTCGACGAGCCCGAGCTGTCCTTCCTCAAGGACTTCTGCGAGAGCTACCCGCCTTCGGCGGCCCCGGCCGCGGCGCCCGCCGGCGGCGGCGACGAGCCGCCGCCGCCGAGCGTGCCCGCGAACGCCGCGGAGGCGCCCGAGGACGCCGACTGGTGCGCCGCGGGCGAGAAGAAGTCCGCGGCGGCCGCGGCCGCGGCCGGCGGCGACCTCGCGGGCGCGCTCGCGCTCTACTCCGAGGCGCTCGAGCTCGAGGCGGCGACGGCCTGCCTGTCGGCGACGACGCTCGCGAAGCGCGGCGAGGTGCTCCTCAAGCTCGAGCGGCCCCGGGGCTGCGCGAGCGACTGCGCGGCCGCGCTCGCGCTCAACCCCGATTCGTGCAAGGCCCTCAAGGTCCGCGGCAAGGCCCACGCGGCGCTCGGCGACTACACGGCGGCGAACCTGGACCTGTCCAAGGCCCAGAGCATCGACTTCGACCCGGACCTCGCCGAGCTCGCCAAGGACGTCAAGGACAAGGCCGCGGCGGAGGCGACGAAGAAGGTCGCCGCGCGGAACGCCGAGGAGCTCGAGAAGCGCAAGAAGGCCGCCGCGGCGAAGCGCGAGCGCGAGCAGGCCGCCGCCGCGGCCCAGGCCAAGGCGAGCGCGCCCGGCGGCATGCCCGGCATGGGCGGCATGGGCGGCATGCCCGGCGCGGCGCCGGCGTCTCCGCGAGAGCTTCCGGGGTTGTCGCGCGCGAACGTTCGGAAACCGATCGCGCCCCTTTCTTAGGCATGGGCGGCATGCCCCCCGGCGCCGCGGGCATGATGAACGACCCGGACGTCGCCGCGGCGATGCAGAACCCCAAGGTCATGGCGGCGCTCCAGGACATGATGGCGGGCGGCGCGCCGAACCCGGCGAAGATGATGCAGTACATGCAGGACCCGGAGATCGGGCCCGTGCTCCAGAAGATGATGGGCGCCGCGCAGGGCATGGGCATGGGCGGCGGCATGCCCGGCGGCATGGGCGGCATGCCCGGCGGCATGGGCGGCATGCCCGGCGGCTTCGGCGGCATGCCCGGCGGCGGCGGCGGCGGCTTCGCGCAGGACATGCCCGAGGAGGTCTCCGACGACGACGTCCCGGACCTCGAGGAGGTCGACGAGGTCGACTAGGGGGGCCGCGCGCGTTCCTGGGGTCCGACCCCGTAAGCTTGTAAAGGGGCGCCGGGCGATGCGTGGTTACTCGGACGCGTGCGGCGCCTCCCGCTAGAAGATCCGCGGCGAGAGGCCGCTGAAGCCCGACGACGGCGCGCCCGCGTCGTCCTCGTCCTCGTCCGAGAACGCGCCGGTGTCCGCGAAGGAGGCCACGGCCTGCTTCTGCCGCTGCGCCTTGGCCTCGTCCGCGGCGTTGCTCAGGCTCCGCTTGCGGCCGCCGCCGAAGGACGGCATGCCGTCGAAGCCCGGGAGCCCGTCCTTGCGGCCGCCGAAGGCCGATATGAAGCCCGGCACGCCCCGGAAGCCCGGGAGCCCCCCGGTCGTCCGTCGGAAGTCCGCGGGCGCCTCGAGGCCGCGCGTCGTCGGCTTCGGCGTCGCGAAGGCGACCATGGCCGGCGACAGCACGGCGCTCGACTTGAACATGAAGTCCTCGTCGCCGCTGCCGCCCAGACTCCGGTACCGCGGCGGCGCGGACGCGCAGATCCGGTCGGCGGCCGTCGGCGCCGTGTAGCTCGGCGCGTCGTTGAGCGGGATGTGCACGGGCGTGGCGTGGCTCTGATGCTTCGGCGGGCTCGCCTTGCCGTAGGACGTGTCGCAGCGCTTCAGCGCCGCGCGCCGCTCTTGCGACGCTTGCAGCTTTGCGAAGCTCGCCTCCATGGACTGCACGAGCCGCCGCTGCGTGCTAATATCTTCGTCGAGCGGGAAGATCTCGTCCGCCATCGTTGCCGCTGCCGCTGGGTGATGTGTTGGCTTGGCTGCGGGTCCGGAAAGCTGCGTCGTACCGCGCGTGTCAAGACTCGAGCACGAACATCAGACGCCTCGAAAGTCAACCCAATGTCAATTGAGCTGAGTCTTCGCGACAAAACATGTTGAATCTTCAATGACGACTTCAATCACCGACCACCCCCTCAAAAGAACGACAGAGACGCGACAGTAGGAAGGGTGCGTGGAAATGGAGGGAAGCGCAGGGACCTTCGGCCGGGCGTCGGCCGCCTACTCCCGCTTCGTGACGCCGTTCTCCTTCTTGTGCGGGCACGCGTGGCCGGCCGCGTGCTCGTGGTCGAGCTCGGAGAAGAAGGAGTGGGCGTGCTCCGGGTTGACGCGGGCGACCCAGGCGTCCATGAGGCCGGAGGAGCAGCCGCCGAAGTTCGAGTCGCTGTGGCCCGCGGCGACGACGTCGCCGTCGGGCGCGACCATGACCGCCTGGACGGAGTCGCGGCCGAGCTCGCCGAACTGGGCCGTCCAAGCCGTGGCGCCGTCGAAGGCGTCGAGCTTGGCGATCCAGGCGTCGCTCTTGCCGGCGATGGGCTTGTCGAAGTCGCCGTACGTCTGGCCGCCGACGTAGATCGTCTCGCCTGGGCGGGAACGGGGTGCGACGTGCCCAACTCCTCTCTCGGCCGTTTCCCGCTCTTTTTGTTTTGGACGAGCGATCATCTTTCGGGGCGCTCTCGAGGCGTGGATTTCCGAAAAACGCGCGCGCGGAACGCTCGCGTCGAAGCGACGTCGAATCGCCAGTTTCCCGCCCCGCGCCTCGCCGTCGGGCGACACCGCGACGTCGTTGAGGAAGTCGACGCGGTCCGTGCCGATGACGCGGCCCCACATGAGGCGGCCGTTGCGGCCGTCGAGCTTGGCGACGAAGCCGTCGCGGCCGCCGGGCTTGGTGCCGTCGTCCTGGGGCGTGTGGTCGTAGCCGTCGGCGACGTAGCCGCCGAACGTGTGGCCGACGACGTAGACGGCGTCGCCCGAGGGCGTCGACACGAGGCTCATGGAGTCGTCGTTCTTGTCCGAGCCGATCTGGACCGTCCAGGCGATCTTGCCCGTCTTGCCGTCGGCCTTGAGGACCCAGACGTCGCCCTTGCCGATGAACGAGCCGTCCGCGACCTCGCCGTAGGTGTTGCCACAGGCGAAGACGGCGCTGCCGGAGGCCGTCGCGGCGACGGACGTGACGTTGTCGCTCTTCTCCGAGCCGACCTGGATCGTCCAGAGGTGGGAGCCGTCGTCGCCGCGGAACGCGCCGAGCCACGCGTCGCCCATGCCGAAGTGGCGGTGCCTACGGAACGACGTGCGACTGGTGTCCACCACAAAAAAAGGACGCCGGTCGGCGACTGGTGGTCGTCCCAGTCGTTGCCGTCGTGGTGGTCGTCGACGTGGCCGTACGTCATGCCGCCTGGGCAGGACAAGAGAGATTCAACGTCGCTTCAACGTGAGTGTTCCGCGCGCGCGCGTTCCGGGCAAAGCATTCACGCTTCGAGACCGTTCCGAGAGATGATCGCTCGTCCAAAAATCAGCCGAAACGAGTGGAAAACGGCCGAGAAAGGAGCCTTTGAAGTTGGGAATTTCGCTCTCTTGTCCTGCCCTGCATGCCGCCCGCGTAGAACTTCGTGAGCCAGGCGTCGCCGGCGATGCCGAGGATGGAGTCCTTCTTCTCGCCGCCGGCCTGGAGCACGCCCTCGCCGCCGTCGTCGTGGTGGAGCCCCCACTGGCCGCGGCCCATGTCGTCCCAGCGGCCGCGCCAGCCGTCCATCTGGCCGCTCGAGCCCTCCTCGCCCCAGTGGCCGTAGGTGTGGCCGCCGCCGACGACGTGGCCGTCGCCGGCCGCGAGGCCGGCGATGTGGTCCTCGCGGTCCGTGCCGATCTGCGTGCTCCACTCGTGCTGCCCGTTGTGCGCGATGCCCGCCATCCAGATGTCGCCGTAGCCCCGGTGCTCGCCGCCGAGCGCGCCGAAGGTGTGGCCGACGACGTAAACGCGCTCCGTCGACGCGTCGATGGCGAGGCCCTTGACCTCGTCGTTGCGCGTCGAGCCGAACTGGACGATCCACTCCGTGCCGCCCTCCTCGCCGCACTTGACGATGCCGTTGATGGACACGCAGGACTGCGTGTGGTCGATCTCGTCCGCGGCGGACGCCAGGGCCGCGCAGGCCAGCAGCGGCGAGAGGCGCATGGCTGCGGCGGTCGAGAGGATGCGCGAGGCCGCGGAGGGAAAAATGATTCACCGGGCCCGCCGCGATTTTGCGAGCGCCGGAGAGCTGCCCTTCCAGGTGTCAACAAAACGGCGCTCGCAACCTCAAGAAGGCAGAGTCTCCTTTCATTCAAGCCTCGCGCTGAACGCCGGCAACGGGCTGCCATGTCGCACCACGAGGTGGCCGAGACGTACCTCGACCTCTGGGAGAGCCTCTGCCAGGGGCGCGACGGCACGGACCGGGGCCCGCGCCTGAAGATCCGGGTCGTCGACACGATCCTGTTCCGCGGCGGGCGGCCCTATCTCTGGATCTTCACGGACAAGGACGGCGAGATCAAGAGCAAGCTCAAGAAGCGGCTCCAGTGGCCCGAGATGGTGCGCCACCTGCTGCGCCTCCTCCCGCAGAAGGCCTGCAACGACGAGCCCGCCGCCGTGTTGCGGTATTCCGACCGGCGGAAGGCGAAAGCCCTGCGGACGACGGTGCTCACGCGCCGCGAGCTCCGGGACCTCGGCGGGTCGCCGGCGTCCTGCAGCACGGCGCTCGGCGGCGGCGAGCTCGTCGCGCTCCAGGCCGCGCCGCTGCCGCGCATGGGCGACTCCACGGGCATCTACCACCACGCGTTCCGGTCGGAGCTGCCGCACGCGACGGAGACCGCGCTGCTCCGGCTCGACGACCCGGGCCGCGTCGTCGCCGTCGCCACCGCGTCGACGCGCGAGCTCTTCGAGTGGCCCGAGAAGCCGACGACGCGCGCCGCGGCGCCGCTCCAGCGGTCGCGCGCGGGCGACGCGGGCGCGATGCGCATCCACCGGTGCCTCGAGCACGCGACGGCGGCCGTCGTCGCCCACGTCGCCCTCGTGCGCGGCGCGGCGCCGATCTCGGGCCTCGTCGCCGAGTTCTGCTTCGACGCCCGCGGCGCGCCCTGCCTCTGCCACTGCGCCGACGTCGGCCGGTCGCTGTCCGACGTCGGCGCGCGCGCCGCGCGCCAGGCCGCGCCCCTGCGCCCGCTCACGAACGCGCCGGCGCCCGCGCCGGCGCCGGCCAAGGCCCGGGCGGCGACGACGCCCAAGGCGCCGACGGGCGACGTCAGCGACGCCTACGTGTCGCCCGTGTCGCCCGAGGACGGCCGGCGCCAGTCCGCGTGGGACGTCGACGACCAGGGGTCCTTCCTCGACTACTCGCCGGACCCGAAGCACCACCGGCGGCCGTCGTCGGCGCCGGCGCGCCGGAGCTCTCGGGCCGCGCCCGCGCCCGCGCCGCCGGAGAACTCGAGCAACCGGCTCACGCCATCGGGCAAGCCCGAGCTCAGCGGCTCGCGGAGCGACAGCGCGCTCGCCGTGCGCGAGGAGGCGAAGAAATTCAAGGCCCGCGCCATGGCGACGCTCGACGCGCCGTCGCTGATCCAGCTCAGCCACGCGCGCGAGCTCTTCCGCGAGGAGGACGCCGCGGCGAAGAAGGACCGGCCCGGCAGCCCCAACTACCGCAAGAAGACGCTCGGCAACCGGCGCTACCTCGAGGCCACGGAGCGCCAGACGCCGGAGATCCTGCTGCGGCCGCGGCCCGTGAACCAGCGCGTCCTCGCCAGCGAGACGGCCGTGGTCCGCGCCGGGGCGATGGACTACGCGGACCAGGCGCGGAAGATGAACGACCAGCTGCTGCTCGCGGAGAAGGCGCTGCAGCAGCAGCGCGACCGCGACCGGGTCATGGCCCGCGCCCAGCGCCGCGAGCTCGCCCCGGCGCCCGCGGCCGCGCCCTCGGAGGGCGGCCGCGCGCGCGGCGCGGCGGGCGACTTCGACGACCCGCTGGCCTGGGCGACGCGCGGCGACGTCGACGACGACCACGGCGCGGGCCACGACATCGCCCTCGCCCAGCGCGCCGACATCCGGCGCCTCCAGTCCATCAAGTTCCACCGCTCGCCCTCCGGGCGCCACCACAGCGCGCGCGGCGACGACGGCTTCGACGCGGGCCGGGGGGGCTACGCGACGCCCCGCCGCCACGGCGTCGAGGAGTCCAAGGAGAACTGCGCGACGCCCAAGACGCCCGGCTCCCTCGACGCCATGGCGCCCACGAGCCCCCTGTCGCCCGACGGCGCGCCCACGAGCCCCCTGTCGCCCGACGGCGCGCCGCGGACGCCGCGGTCGTCCGACGCGCCGCGCGCGCGGGAGCCGCGCGCCGCGGCCGCGAAGCCCGCCTGGGGCCGCGGCGACGGGGGCAAGGCCGCGGCCGCGAAACGGGCCAAGGCGCGCAAGCCCCGCACGGTGGACCAGCGCTCCAAGGCCGCCGCGCGGGCCATCGTCGAGAGCCGCGAGTGGCCGCTCTACGGCACGCGGAACATCTCGCGCGTCGCGTGCAAGGACGCGCGCTTCATGGCCAAGTCCTGGGACTCGCTCCTCGAGGACGGCGCCCTCAAGTGGGTCGGCACGGACCTCCCCGGCGCCGGCACCTGGCAGCGCCGGGGGCTCGCGCTCCCGTCGACGGGCTTCGCGCCGGACGACGCCTACGACCCGGACGCGCCGCCGGTCTACGACATCGCCCGGGCCTTCGCGAACCACGACGGCGCCGCCGTCAAGCACCTCGTCCCCCGCACGCAGATGACCTACGCGGAGTACACGGGCACGGGCTACGGCGACTACGGCGACTACGCGCCGTAAACGTGCGGTGCTTGAGGTCGACGCTGCCGTCTTCTAGCTTCTCGCAATTGGCTTCTCGGCGGGGTGGGAGGCGCCATCTGGAGGCGCCCAGCGTCGCCGTCGGGCAGCGTTCTCTGCTGCCTTCTAGCTTCTCGGGGAGGAGGCGCCCAGCGTCGCCGTCGGGCAGCGTGCTCTGCGAACCATGGGCCCGCCACCGCCGGCGATGGTGGCGAGCGAGGCCGACGGGTGCATCAGCTTTAGTTTCGGCGCCGGCGGCGGCGCGTCGGCGGATTTGGAGGAGCTGCCGCCGGAGTTCGAGCGCGTCGACGAAGAGGAGGCAGCCCGGGTCACAATCGTCGTCGGCACGGACCACCTCGGCCGCGACTTCGGGGACCGGCTCCGCGCCAGGTTCGGGGATCGCGCCGAGCTGGTCGACGCCATGTCCGCGGACAGCCACCACAGCTGCGAGGCGGCGCACGCGGCCGCCGTCGCGGACGCGGACGCGTTTTTCGGCTGGCCCTCCGCCGCGACCGTGGCCGCCGGCCGGCGCCTCCGCTGGATCGCGTGCCCCGGGGCGGGAGTGGACAAGATCGTCAAGGCCGAGACGACGCGCCGCCGCGCGGGCGTGACGCTCACGAACGCTCCGGGGACGCACGTCGTCGCCATGGCCGAGCACGTGCTGGGCTCGATGGTTTCGTTGGCGCACCGCTTCCACGACATGGAAGCGGCGCGCCAACGCGGCGAGTGGGACACGCAGCGCTGGAATGGTAAAATCCTCGAGCTCAGCGCGAAGACCGTCTTCGTCTTCGGCTACGGGGACGTGGGCAAGGCCGTCGCCAAACGAGCGGAGGCCTTCGACATGACCGTCACGCACTCGACGCGTTCCTCGACGGCGGAGGAAATCGACGCGCTCTGCGGGAGAGCGAACTTTTTGGTCATCGCGGCGCCGATTAACGAGGCCACGAAGAACGCCTTCGACCGGCGGCGCCTCGCGCTCCTGCCGAAGGACGCGGTCGTCGTCGTCATTTCGCGCGGCGGGATCGTCGACGAGGACGCGCTCTGCGACCTGCTCGAGAGCGGCGCGCTCGCCGGGGCGGCGCTCGACAGCACGGCCGTGGAGCCGCTCCCGAAGGCGTCGCGGCTCTGGTCCCTGCGGAACGTCATCCTCACGCCCCACGCGTCCGCGCTCTCGGCAGAGCTCTTCGAGCGCCGCCGCGCCGTCTTCGAGGCGAACCTCGACCGGTTCCTCCGTGGCGACGCCCTCGAGAACGCCGTCGACATGGCGACCGCGTATTAAGAGGATCACTGCGTCAGCTCGAGGAGGGGCGACGACGCGACGGCGCTCTCGCTCACGTCCATGGGCCGCGCGAGGCGCGCGAGGCGGCCCGCCTCCGTCGCGAGCTTGAAGGCGCGGGCCATGGCCGGCGCGTCGCTGGCGCGGGCGACGGCGGAGTTGGCGAGGACCGCGTCGGCGCCGAGCTCCATGGCCAGCGCCGCGTCCGACGGCGTGCGGAGGCCCGCGTCGACGACGACGGGCACGGACGCCTGCTCGCAGATGACGCGGATGCACGACGACGCGTCGATGCCCTGGCCCGAGCCGATGGGGCTGCCCAGGGGCATGACCGTCGCGCAGCCGACGTCCTCGAGGTGGCGGCAGAGGATCGGGTCCGGCGAGCAGTAGGGCAGGACCGCGAAGCCCTCCTTGACGAGCTGGCGCGCGGCCGCGACGGTGCCGAGCGGGTCCGGCAGCAGGTAGGTCGAGTCCGTGATGACCTCGAGCTTGACGAAGTTGTTGTCGCCCTGGCCCAGGGCCTTGGCCGTCTCGCGGCCGAGCCGCGCGACGCGCACCGCGTCTTCCGCGGTCGTGCACCCGGCCGTGTTCGGCAGGAGCCAGACCTTGTCCCAGTCGATGGACGCCGCGAGCATCTCCGTCACGGCCGACTCGACGCGCCGCACGGCGACGGTCACGACCTCGGCGCCGGACGCCTCGACGGACGCCGCCATCTCGGCGGACGTGCGGTATTTGCCTGTTCCCAAGAAGAGGCGCGAGTTGAATGTTTTGCCCGCGATGACGAGCGGGTCGGCCACGGTTGCTGGGCGGGCGATGGTCGCGGATAATGCCGACGCGGAAGCGGCCACCAAAGCCAGCAGCATGATGCGCGAGTCGTTCAACATGGCGCGGCCCATGCTGTTGCACTCGCTCGCCTCTGCCGCTGCGCCACGCGCGTCGACGAGTGCGCGCCGAGCCGTCAAACGAAGCACTCATATACGCGTGCGCACCGAGCCGTCAAACGCAGCGCTCGTACGCCATGGTCCTGCTGCGCATCGCATCGGTCGTCGCGCTCGCGCGCACGGCCCAGGCGCTCCACCACGTGTCGCCGTCGACGCGGCGGCGCTTCGCGGCCTACGCTGCCAACAACAACGGCGACGACGCGCGGCGCGTGGTCTTCCTCGGCTCGCCCGGCGTCGCGGCCCTCACGCTGGAGGCGCTGCTCGACGCGTCGGCGGAGGGCCGCGGCGGCGGCTTCGAGGTCGTCGCGGCGGTGTCGCAGCCGCCGGCGCCCAAGGGCCGGAAGCGCGCGCTCGCGAAGAGCGAGGTCCACGAGCTCGCGGAGGCGCGCGGCGTGCCCTGCCTCACGCCGGCGTCGGCGCGCGACCCCGAGTTCCTCGCGGCGCTCGAGGCCTTGGACGTCGACCTGTGCGTGACGGCGGCCTACGGCCAGTTCCTCCCGAAGGCGTTCCTCGCGATCCCGAAGCACGGCACGATGAACGTGCACCCGAGCCTCTTGCCGCGCTGGCGCGGCGCGGCGCCGCTCCAGCGGTCCCTGGAGGCCGGCGACGCCGAGGTCGGCGTGACCGTGCTCCGAACCGTGCTGAAGATGGACGCGGGACCCGTGGCCGCGCAGCGGACGCGGGCGGTGGAGGACGGCGACGACTGCGCGGCGCTGCTCGACGAGCTCTTCGGCGTCGGCGCGCAGCTGCTCGTCGACGACGTCATGCCGGGGCTCTGGGACGGGACGCTCGAGTGCGAGCCGCAGGACGGCGACCTCGCGACCGAGGCGCCGAAGCTCACCAAGGACGAGGGCGCGCTCGACCTCGGCGGCCCCGGCGACGACGGCCGCTCCGCGGCGCGCCGCGCCGCGGACAAGGTCCGCGCGTTCACGCCGTGGCCGGGCACGCACGTGCCCGTCCGCGTCGGCGACAAGCCCGACGTCGAGCGGCTCAAGATCCTCGCCGCGCGCGTCGCGCCCGAGTGCCCCGCGGGCGGCGCCCTCGCCAAGGTCGGCAAGGCCGTCCTCCTGCCCTGCGCCGACGGCTCCGCGCTCGAGCTCCTCAAGGTCCAGCCCGCGAACCGGAAGCCCATGGACGCCGCGGCCTACTGGAACGGCCTCCGGGGCGACGCGTGCACGCCCGCGGCCTAAGCGCGCTCAGTTCGAATTTGCCCGGGGGCTTCGACGGGCCATTATCGCCGCGCGACGCGGCAGAACGCGTCCTCGACGGCCTTGGCCCGCGCGGCGTCGTCGCCGCCGCCGCCGGGGCACGCGCCCTCGACGTCGGCGTAGCGCCGCCGCACGCAGGTGCGGCACCCGATGCCCGGCTCGCAGAGGCGGCCGAGCGCGTCGACGCGGCACCGCCGCGTCGCCGTCGCGCGGTTCTTGACGACCGTCCGGTTCGGCGCCGGGTCCCAGCTCACCGCGCGGGGCGGCGCGCGCCGCGGGCTCGTCGCCACACCCAGGACGATGACGCCGACGAGCACGACGCAGACGAGGCCGGCGAGGCGCGAGATCGGCGCGCGCTCGTAGCCCGGGAAATGCGTCGGCCGGCCGCTCTTCGAGGTCCCCGCGCCGTAGCGCGGCATCTCGAGCGCGGCGAAGCCGCTCCGCTTCGTCGGCGGCGCGGCGCTCATGGGGTAGCGCCGCTCGTAGCGCACAAGCTCGTCCGTCGTGTCGTCGGCGCAGTTCGCCCAGCGCGGCGGCTCGAGGGCCTCGGCGACGTTGACCTGGCCGGTCGCGCAGGAGTTGGCGCAGAACGTCGTCATCTCCGTCTCCGTCTCGTCCTCGACCTCGACGTCGTAGTACTTTTGGCTCATGTCACCGCGACGGCGCGGCTGCGGCTTGAGCTGCCACAAGAGAGAGAGAGTTTCGATTGGAGTTGTTGAAGATAGTTGTTGATCTGAGTTGTTGCATGCGTTGTCTCCTTCATATAGCAGGGGCAGCCGACCATCCCTCGATCGAGAGCGTCATGCGCAGCACCGACCATGGCGCAGCACCGACCATGACGCATGAAACGCGGCCGCGGAAGCGCGGCCGGGACGGCGCCGTCGAGCCACCGCCGCCACCGAAGCGGCCGCGGACCTGGTCGCCGTGGGCCGCCGTGCGCGGCGCCGCCGCCGCGGCGTCGCGCGGCCTCGCGTGGGTCTGGCTCCACAAGATCTACTACCCGCTGCGCTTCAAGGCGCGCGCCGCGGAGGTGCGCGGCTACCTGAAGCGGAGCGGTCCGTCGCCGCGGTCCGCGCTCACGACGCGTCTGGCAGCGTTGGAAAACGAAGCGCGGGCGAAGCCGTTCCGCGGCGCGACGAAGGCGGCCTTCTTCCCGCCGTCCGGGACCTGCGCGAGCCCCAAGCCCGCGGACACGCTCGACGCGCGGCGCCGCGCGCTCGCGGCGCGCCTCGAGGCCGCGTCCGGCGATTCGTCGCCCGCGCGGCGCCTCGGGCTCCTCCGGAAGGTGCCCCTCGTCGTCGACCGCCGCGTCGGCGTCTTCGACTCGGCCGTGCCCCAGCTGCTCGCGGCGGCGCCGGAGCGGCTCCGCGTCGGCCTGAACGTGCGCTTCCTCGACGACGGCGGCCTCGAGCGCGGCGTCGACGTGGGCGGCCTGTCGCGCGAGTTCTTCGCCCTGGTCGGCTCGGAGCTCGCCGCGGACGTCGACAGCATGTCCGAGCCGGCGACGCCCGACGGCATCCGCGGCGGGCGGTCGCGGTCGCGGTCGCGCTGCGCGTCCATCGCCGGCAGCGGCCAGCCCATGCTCCGGGGGCTGCCCGACGCGTGCCTCATGCTCGCGCCGTCGGACCGGCCGCCGTCCGTCTACCTGGGGCTCGGGCGGCTCTTCGGCCTCTCGGTGGCGCTGTCGGCGCGCGGCGAGGCGAGCGCGCTGGACCTGCCCGTGTCGTCGTGCCTGGTCAAGTGCGCGTGCGACCACCCCTTCACGGCGGACGACGTCCGCGCCGTGGACCCGGTCTTCTTCCGGAACCGGCTCGAGGCCGTGCTCGCGCCGGGCGGCCCGGGTCGCGTCGCCGACGCGCTGGGCCTCGACGGGCCCCTGACCTTCGTCGACGACGACGGCGAGGAGCTGGTCGAACACGGCGCGGACATCGCCGTCGACGAGTCGAACCGGGAACGCTACGTGCAGCTCTTCGCGGAGTCCTACCTGTGCGGCGCGGTGCGCTTCGAGCTGGCCCAGTTCGTCGCCGGCTTCCGCGAGGTCGTGCCCCTCGACGCGCTCCGCGGCGCGGGCCTCTCGTGGCGCGACGTCGCCCTGCTCCTCGAGGGCGTCCAGACCGTCGACGTCGACGCGCTCGAGGCGCGCGCGGTCGTCGAGGGCTCGGGCGAGGTCGCGGCGTGGTTCTTCGACGTGCTCCGGGACGCGGACGACGAGTTCCGCGCGCGCGTGCTCCAGTTCGTGACGGGCGCGGCGCGGCTCCCGCCGGGCGGCCGCCTCGCGCCGCCCCTCGAGCTGGCCGTCGACGCGAGCCTCGACGCGGCGCTCCTGCCGACGGCGCACACGTGCTTCAACCAGCTCGCCCTGCCGCGCTACGCGTCCAAGGCCGCGCTCCGGGAGAAGCTCGTCCTCGCCGCGACGGAGGGCGGCGGGAGCTTTAGTCTGATCTAGTCTTTTCTCGGTGGCGGCACTGAGTCTCTCTCGAGAGAGAGCGAGCATCGAAGGGGCGGTTACGTCGGCCCGGTCGCGTCTCGCGCGTCGTCCCCCCGCTCTCTAGCGGCACTTGGCGAGGGTGCGGTCGATGCCGTTTTCGTCGTACTCGGCCTTGGTCATCCAGAACTCGGCGCGCTCGCGCATGATGTCCGCGAGGACGGAGCCGCCGAGGAAGACGAGGTGCTTGCGGCGCGGCGGGTCCTCGATGCGCATCTTGAACTTCTTGAGCCGGTCCTCGTTGCCGTTGAGGACCTCGGCGAGGTAGCGGTTCGTGATGTCGCGCTCGAGGCGGCTGGGCAGGCCCGGGTACATGGACGAGCCGCCGGAGAGCACGATGTGCTTGTAGTACTCGGACCGCGTGTCGATGTCCGCCGACTGGATCATGTCGAAGACCATGTGGCCCATGCCCTTGGACTCGACGTCGATGAGGGACGGGTCGAAGAGGGCCTCGGGCGCCTCGAAGCGCTCGCGGCCGATCTTGATGACGCGGCCGTCGGGCAGCGTGTGCGTCGCCTCGAGCACCGTCGTCTCCTGCGCTAAACGCCGCTCGACGGCGATGTCGTGGGCCACGTAGCAGAACTTCTCCTTGATCTGGCGCACGGTCTCGAAGTCCGCCGTGCGGTTGAAGGCGTAGCCCCGCAGGAGCAGGAGCTTGATGAGGTAGCGCGTCACGTGGCGGCCCGCGACGTCGAGGCGGCGGATGAGGTTCTGCGGCACGAAGCCGTCGTAGACGGGCACGACGTGCGTGACGCCGTCGCCCGTGTCGACGACGCAGCCCGTGAGCAGGCCCTGGGCGTAGAGCGTCAGCATGGCCTGGATGGACACGTTGCAGTACGAGTAGCCGTAGAGCTCGAACATGGCCGTCACGAGCTTCCGCCGGTTCGCGAGCGGGTTCATGGGCGGCTCCGTGAGCATGATCTTGTAGTCCTTGGGGTCGATGCCGAGCTTCTCGTAGAAGGTGTAGTTCCAGAGCAGCTCCATGTCGTCCCAGTCCTTGACGATGCCGTTCTCGACCGGGTACGTGCAGTCGAGGCTCATGCGCACCGCGGCCGCCTCGTCGCCGCACATGACCTCCTTGAGCGTCACGTCGTCGGAGATGGCCTCCTCCGCGCGCAGGATCGGCCGCCCGACCATCGACGGGAAGATGGACCGCGGGAAGTTCTCGCTCGCGTAGCCCACCTTGACGAAGCCCGTGCCGTTGTCGCAGACGACGCAGTGGTAGTCGCCGAGGTTCGCCATGCCGCCGGCGGGGCACCCCGGCGTCGCGCGGCGCCTCCTCCGGGGTTCGTGCGGCGGGGAGCGAGCGCGCCGCGTCGAGGCCGCCGACCGACGAGCCGCACCTCCTCACGAGCAGCTCGGGCCACTCGTCGACATGGAAAGCGCCGGTCGCCTGGGTCGATGCCGGCGTCGCGGCGCGGACGACGTCCGGCAGCCCTCCGCACCCATAGCCTCGAGACGAGCTCACCTTAGCTTCCGACTCCGCGCGCGCCGGCGCAGCTCCGCGGCCGCGACGACGGCGAAGGGCGCGAGCACGGCGAAGGCCGCCGCGGCGAGGAGGACGCCGAGCGGCGCGCCGTCCGCCGCCGCCGCGTGAACGGCGCCGTAGTCGACGCCCGCGCGCACGCGGCAGGAGTCGTCGAGGCGCACGTCGCCGAAGGCGTACGCGTACGCGCAGACCGTCGGCCAGGCGCACGTCGCGCGCGCGTAGTCCCAGTGGCACTCGGCGTCCGTCCGCGGCGCGGGCGCGGGCGCGCCGCGCGTCGCGACGAGGCGGCAGGACTGGGTCAGGTGCAGGTCGCCCTTGGCGTAGCGGTACTCGCAGGCGCCCGGGTTCGCGCAGCGGCGCCGCGCGTAGGACCAGTAGCACGCGGCGTCGCCGTCGGGCCGCCAGTCCTCGACGTGGACGCGCGACGGGGCCTCGCTCGCGCGCCGCGTCCGCGCCGCCGTCGCCGCGAAGACGTCGAGCTCCCGGAGGAAGTGGGACAGGAAGACGTTGTGGTTCGACGAGTCGCGGTGCGCGACGGCGTCCATCTCCCAGACCGCCGTGCGCCGGCCGGAGGACCGCGACTCGAACGTCGTGAAGCGCGGCTCGAGGAGCGTGTGGTTGACCGGGGTCTCGTCGAAGACCGCGGCGCGGTTCGCGGCGTCGTAGGTTCCGCTCATGACCTCGTCGTCCTCGAAGAAGTTGCGCAGGGGCACCGAGTGGACGTCGACGCGGCCGCCGAGCCACGCGTGGGCCGCCGACAGGCTCGCGTAGGGCACCGTGTGGTCCCCGCTCTTGGCCTCCCGCGGCCCCGTCGCGCGCACGCGGCCCGCGCCGTCGACGAGCTCTCGGTGCGCGAGGCCGCGCTCGTAGACCGTCTCCGCGGCCTCCCAGAGCGCCGTCGTCCGCCGGAGGGGCAAACCGTCGTAAGTTTCCACGCCCGCCGCTTCCAGGGCCCCCGCGCCGAGCGGCGGCGTCGCGTTCCTCGCCGCGACGCGCCGGAACGACGCCGACAGCTCCGTCTGGAGGCCGACGCCGTAGGCGGCGACGACGACGTCGACGGGCGGCCGGGCGACGGCGACCGCGAAGGCGTCGCCGACGAAGGGGTCGGCGCTCAGCCGGCGGACCATGGCCGCCGCGTCCCCCAGGAGGTCGTCGAACGCCGCGGCCCGCTCGAACCCCGCGGCGAGCGACGACGGGCCGCAGCAGGCCTCGGGGCCGAAGGCGTCGCCGCCGAGCCGGAACGTCGGGAGCTCCGGCGTCGCGTGGCGCGGCGCGGCGCCGCCGCGCGTCGCGACGGACGGCGCCAGGGACGCGATGCCCCCCGCGATGAGCACCTCGCGGAGCCGCGCGCGCTTCATGGGCAGCCCCATGGTCTGCCCGACGACCATCGACGACACGATCTCCGGCGCTCCGAGGAGCGGCGCGCCGTTGGCGACGTACATACCGACGTGCACGTCGATCCACTCGCGCCGCTTTCGCTCCGAGCCGACGCGGCGCCCCAGCCACGCGAAGAAGTAGGCGGCGACGCGCGTGCCCATGGAGTGGCCGTAGAGCACCGCGCGAAGGCCCGTGCGCGCGACCTCGACCTCGACGCTCGCCTTGAGCCGCGAGAAGTAGCCGTCGCGGGTCTCGAGCGTCTCCGGCGCCACGCGGAAGTCGTAGGGGACCGCGTGCAGGCTCGTCGGGTCGTAGCCGCGGGCGACGAGCGCGTCGATCACGCCGGACATGCTGTGCGCGAAGCGTCCGAGGAAGCCGTCCGCGAGGTCGTAGATCGCCGCGACCTGTGTGGCAATCAACCGCCGGTTTGGGACGTCCTGACCAAACTTCAGAATTCTCTAGCTCGGTCAAATCGAAGTCGATTCGGCTGATTTTTGGACGGATCGATTGCTCTCATCGAGATCTCGAAGCGCAGCCGAAGAGCTTGCGCCAAAACTGTCGCATACGCTCACATTGAAGTCGGGTCGAAGATTTGAGCGCGCAGGCCGCGACGCCCTCGCCCGCGCGGACGGTGCAGTTGGGCATGTCCGTCGCGTTCGGGCCCCAGAGCCGCAGGCACTCGCACCAGCACCCGGGCACCGCCGCGATGAGCGCCGGCGCGACCCATACATCCGTGCCCGGCGTGATGGACACGCCGGGGCTCGAGGGGCAGTCGACCGTGGACCAGGCCCGCAGCCTCGAGCCGCAAAGGCTCGGGATGAGGAAGATGGGAGGGAGGCGGTCCGCGTCGGGCCGCCCGCCCGGCGCCGCGGATGCGACGCTGCAGAGGAGCGCGAGGAAACGACGCATTTGTGCGGCAACGTCTCACAGGCAAGCAAAAAAGCGAGCGTCTGGTTTTACCGCAGGCAAGGGGGGGCCAACCAACCCCCTAGGGCTCCCTAGCGCGACGCGGTGAACACCGTTTCCCAAGCAATCCGAGAACGGTCGTCCTAGCACCCTAAAGGACTCCTCGACGTAGTTTAATCGGGGCGGCGGCCGCGCGATCGCACCAGTGGCGACCGCGGCGTCCCGAGGCCACGCGAGCCGCGTCAGCTTACGGGGCCCTGTCGGCCGCAGATCCAGCCCAGAGCCCGCGTTTGCGCGTCCGATCCAGTCCATGGGTGGTACGGGCCCGCGTGATGGGCTCAGCCGCAGCACGTCCAGCGTGTTCGTCGACCCGCCGCCGCTCAAAGACGTCCTCGGTAGTTCCGGAGCGTTTCCTCGGCGCCACGAGTGATTCCGGTCGCCGCGCAGAGCATGTCGCTGTCGTACGCGTCACGACATACTAGACGAGTGCCGGGCTCGACCAGCTGCGTGCGACGCTGCGTTGGCGTCGCCCGAGCGGCGCGCGAAGGACTGCCGCCACTGGGAGACGACCTTCGAACGCCCCGGCGCGCGTCGAAACGTGCGAGTTCCGCAACCAAAGCACCTCAGAGGTCGCCCAGGGGTACGAGGCCTTCGTCGCCACCGCCCAGGCCCGGAGGGACGCGCACAGAGCGCCGACGGACGCGCCCACAGCCTCTCGGGGCGGGCCGAGATCTCGACGCGGCCCGCGATCTTTTTGTCCGAGGATTTCGACCAATGAGAACCCAGCTTTTGCTCGATTCGACGCCTCCCAGGCGCGTCCAAACGCGGTCCCAGCCCCAGATTTTAGGACAGGATCCCCGTCAGTTACCACCTCCGAGTAGGAACCCAGAATTGCTTGGTTATCGGCGTCGCGGAAGTCGGAATTCATTTTCCGTTAGCCCCCCCGTCCGCAGGCCGCAGCGGTCCGCAGGCCTCCACACGCCCTCCTAGCCAAGGCCGCCCTCCGCGAGCGCTCGGATCGTCGAGCCGCGGGACCCGCACGAGACATAAGAGGCATGCGCAGAAGGACGAGGCGACGAGTTACGGCTTCCCGGGCGGCGGCGCCGCGGGCGGCGGCGCGGTCGGCGGCGGCGCCGCGGGCGGCGGGTCGGCCTCGTCGACGACGATGCTCAGGACCTCGCTGAGGCAGGCGGAGTACTTGGCGGGCTGGATGTAGAGGTCGTAGCCGAGGCCCGCGAGGAAGTGGCGCTCCATGAGGTTGACGTCCCGTAGGTCGACCTGCCCCGCGTCGGGCAGCACGCAGCGCCAGGCGATGGTGAAGTCGATGTTGCGCAGGCAGCGGTCGTCCCAGAACTTCTGGGCGATCATCAGCGCGCAGAGGAGGTAGCGGCGCCACGTCGCGGGCGCGAGCCGCAGGTTCTTCTGGTAGCTAAAGAAGCGGATGAGGAGGATGAGCGCGACGACGTTGCACTCGAGCGTGTAGTGGCAGAGGCGGGCCATGTCGTTGAGGAAGGCGTGGAGGTTCGTGAGCGTCGGCCGCGCGCCGCCGTCGCCGCACGCGAAGACCGCGAGCTGCGACGGCGCGCGTCTGCCGCCGTCGCCCGCGCGCTCCTCCATCATGAACTCGAGGAGCGCGGCCATGCCGAGCACGATGCGCGACGCGTTCTCCTCGCTCAGCAGGGCCGGGTCCACGTCCCGGTTCAGGTCGCCGAGCGCGTGCGGCCGCCGCGCGGGCGCCGCCTTCGCCAAGGCGGCGGCGGGCGCGGCGGCGCGCCGCGCGCGGCCCGCGGCGCCGCCGCCCTCCTCGGCGCGCGGCCGCTTCGCCGCGCCCCGCTCCTCGCCGTCGGGCCGCGGGCGCCGCCGGCCCTCGGCCGGCGCGGCCCCGGCGCCGGACGCCGCGGAGCCCGCGGAACCCGCGGGGTCCTCGCCGGACGCCGCGCGCGGCCGGCCCTCGAGCGCCGCCTCGGCGGCGTCCAAGTCCGTGCGGTCCGTCGCGGCCTCGAGCGTCTCCTCCCAGTGCGCCACGCACGGGTCCAGCGCGTACGGCTCGAGCGTCTCCTCCCATTCCGCGATCTTTTGATCGGAGAGGCCGTCGGCCATGGCGCCGGTGCCCGCGCCGCCGCGCAGGGCGACAAGGCGAGTGTGTGCGGCCGGCAACTATGCAGGCATGCGTGCGCGGTGGGCTCAGGCGCGGCTCAGGCGCTCGAAGCTATTGAGCAAGTGAAGGTCAAACCATCGCGCGAAGATCGTCGAAAGAGGCCTCGCCCGGGGTATTACTCTGAGTTTGTCCCCTGTTGAAGCGGCACAGTGCGGCAAAAGCCGTCGTTGCATGGGCTTTTCTTCGCGGCGCTCGCGATGGCGTCTGAGCGTTATGCGCCGGGATCGGCACTGGGGAGGTGCCTCCGCAGCGTCGGGGATGCCTTCGTTCGGGCGTCGACCTGCTATGACGCGGATCCTTAGTGGGTTCCGACGGCAGCGACCATGCGGAAGCCGTCGAACCCGACGTCGGTTGGCTCGAGGTCCCGAGGGGCAGCCCGAGGCGCCTGGGGTGGGGCCTCGCCGCCGGACATGGTCTGGACCCGACCCTATCATGGTATGGAACGGATCAAGACCATGTCCGGCGGCAGGGGCAGCCCCAGACACCCCACGGCCACCGTCGGGACGAAACGCCTCCGGAGCTCGGCTCGGTGGACTCGACGATTTCGCCCCCCCCCGAGGAACCTGCCGCGCTGGACGCGACGGGGTTGATGACGAACGATCTCCGCTGCTGCGATGGCTCGAAAACTATGCTAGAGGGGTCGCGAGGGGGCAGCGCGTCCCTTCCCACCCACTCTACCTCCCCGTTCCAGTCGCCACGCGGTCGTATGAGCGTCGCGTCTTCGCATGTGCGTCACCCTCGTCCTTGCGGCCCTCGCAGCTGCTGGGATCGTTGCACGATTCTGCATATTCGCGGAGCGGCGGGCCCTCAAAGACGGCCATCCCATCGCAGCGCGCCGCCAAAACGCTGCACAATGTCGATCATGAAGCACGGAGGACATTCGATCGATTTTACCCCGGCGGGTCGAATTCGAAAGGCAAAGTCAGTGTGCGAAACAACGTACGCCTAGGCGCGCCCACTCGAATTAAGTAAGTAAGTATTATTTATTGTTTCCCGCCGGCGGCGGGCGGGACGTGTACTACACCTCCTGAAAATCGACCGCGCGCGCGGCCAAGCCGCGGGGCCAGAGGCAAAATTGGCGAATTATGGCCACGCCGAAGATAACCAACCAAGATTGCGCGCTAAACGTATTAATCAAGGAAATGTGAGAGCGCGGGTCGCTGGTTCGGGTCGACAAGCGTGTAGCATATCTTCAAGTTGATGTGCAATGTTTACTTTTTTGTTGAAGATATAAGTCGGTGGTAATTGCATTAGGTGGGAATTCAAGTTGATGTGCAATGTTTACTTTTTTGTTGAAGATATAAGTCGGTGGTAATTGTTGGAGGGATTTTGTTTCGCACACTGGGCAAAGTCCGTCGTCCGAGTCGGCGCCCGCCGCGCCGCGTGCGGGCAGCCCTGGCGGTGGTCCATCGTACTCGGAGCGGAAAGCAGTGGATCCCACCCATATCGCAGCCCAGGGCTGGGAGCGTCTCTGACGCCGTCCATGGCGACGCGCGTCGCCGCGTCCGGAGTCCGCCAGCCGCCAGCCGCCGTCCCGAGTCTGTGCCATAGCGACGCTAAGCGAGCAAATGTCTCTGCCACGTGCCGAAAAGCGACTTCAGACGCCGAGGCCTACGCCAGGCGCGGCGGTCGCGGAGCCTTCGCTGCGCGCGAGGTCGACGCTGCAGTGCGGGCGAGAGCATGGAGTCGACGTCGTCTCACGAGGCAGCTATGCCACCGCCGCGAACGAGCGACGAAAACGATGCCGCAACCGCGAACGAGCGACAAAAACTAAGCGATGCAGCAGCGCGCGGTCCGCCGCCGCCGCGCGACAACTCGCTGAAAACTCTGGCGCCGCCGCCTCGCATGGCGTGGAACGCTGCGAGCGCGACGCCGCCACCGAGCCGCGAGGCGACGAACGCTGCCGCGGCCGGGCCGCCGCCGCCCATGGCATGGAATCCGGCGGCGCCGCCGCCGCGCCGCGAGGAGCCGCGCGCGGCGCCTCTCGCGAAACCGCCGCAGGCCGTGTGGAACCCGGGAGCCTTCGCGGCCGCCGCGGGAAGCGAGACGAGCGAACCCGACGCCGCGTTGGAGCAGGTCGACGAGGAACCGCAGGCGCAGGCGCCCGTCGCGCCGCCGCAAGCCGCGTGGAACCCCGCGGCGCCGCAGCCGCGCGTCGACACGAGCGACGAGGCGCTCGCGTCGCCGCCGCGACAAGCCGCGGAGCAGTCGCCGCCGCGACCCGCCGCGGAGTGGCCGCCGCGACAAGCCGCGGAGCAGTCGCCGCCGCGGCCCGCCGCGGAGCAACCACCGCCGCAAAACCCCGCCGCGGAGCAGTCGCCGCTGCGACAAGCCGCGGAGTGGCCGCCGCGACAGGCCGCGGAGCAGTCGCCGCCACGGCCCGCCGCGGAGTGGCCGCCGCGACAAGCCGCGGAGCAGTCGCCGCCGCGGCCCGCCGCGGAGTGGCCGCCGCGACAAGCCACGGAGCAGTCGCCGCCGCGGCCCGCCGCGGAGTGGCCGCCGCGACAAGCCGCGGAGCAGTCGCCGCCGCGACCCGCCTCGGAGCAACCACCGCCGCAAAACCCCGCCGCGGCGCAGTCGCCGCCGCGACCCGCCGCGGAGCAACCACCGCCGCAAACCGTTGCCGCGGCGCGGTCGCCGCCGCGACCCGAGGCGCCGCGGCGCGCGAAGACGCCGCCCGCGGCCGGCCGCCGGCCGCTCGTGACGACGCCGCCGCTCATGCGCGTCGGCGCGGCGAACGCGAGCGCCGAAGCGACGACGCCGCCGCGGCGCGCGCCGTCGCCGCCGCCGCCGCGGAGCCGGCCCGCGGAGGCGCGGTCCGCGCCGCCGACCTGGGCCGCGGTCGACGCGCTCCGGCGAGAGGTCGCGTCCGCGCGGACGGCGGCCGCGGAGAGCGACGCGCGCGTCGCCGCGCTGCTCCGGTCCCAGACCTTCTCCCGGGAGCAGGGCAAGCTCGAGAAGGAGGGCCTGCGGCTCCTGCTCCGCGCGCGGCACCTCAAGGAGCGGCAGGTCCACGACGTCAGAATGGAGCTCGCGCGCGAGCGCCGCGAGCACGAGCTCCTCGGTATCGTCCAGCGGCGCGAGGAGGCCTGGGCGCGGGGCGCCGCCGCCGCGCCGCCGCGGGCGCCCCTGCTGGAGCGCCTCTGGTGGTGGCTGCGGCGGACCATGATCCTCGTCGTGTACGCGGCCTTCGCCGGCGCGTGCCTCGGCTTCGCGTTCGGCGGCCGCAGCGGCGACCGGCGCGGCGGCCGGGACGAGCTCTAACTATTTTATCCTACGATTCACCGCGACACGTAGATGCGCTGCCACTGGCGTTCGCGGTGCGTGGACATCTCGAGCCGCGCGAGCTGCGGAGGGGTAGGGCGTTCGACGGGGACGCCCCCCCCGAGGGAAACGGAAGACACGGCGGCCGCGCCGCCACGCGGAGCTGCTTCTCGAGCTGGTCGTACTGCTCCTTGCTCCGCTGGAGGCCGCTGTCGCGAAGCCGCTGGTTCTCGACGTCCTCCGTCGACGGCGCGCGCGTCGGCGGCGGCGCGGCGGGGAGCACCGCCGCGGGCGCGGGCGGCGGGGCGGCCACGGCTGGCGCGAGCGCGGCCGGCGCGAGCGCGGCCGGCGCGAGCGGCGCGGGCGGCGGCGGCGCGGGCGGCGCGCAGCGCGCGGCCTCGAGCGCGTCGAGGCGCCGGCGCAGCTCGTCGTTCTCCGCCTGCGCGTCGCGCGCGTCGTCGCGCGCAGGCGAAGGAGGAGGCCGCACCTTGACGGCGGCCACGTTCGAGAGGTTCTCGTAGCTGCTGCGCACGTCGGCGAGCGGCGCCGCGGGCAGCTCCAAAACGTCGCGCGGGAGGCGGCTCCGGGCCTCGAGCTCGGCGACCTCGCGCTCCCGCGCGTCGCAGCGCAGCTGGTACATACTCAGGCGCTCGGAGCGCGCCAGCGTCGCGTCCATGGCGTTCGCGTCGACCATGCTGGTTCGGCAATCGCAACGTTCTTCGGGAGCGCGCTTCGAGGCGTCCGCTGGGGCAATTGCCTTAGACGCCCTGGGCGGACTCGAGGGCTAGGATGCCCTCGTAGTAGGACGGCGTGGGCCGGCCGGCGAGGAGGTTCTTCCGGGGCTGCTCGTCGGGCTTCTTCTCCGAGTCGAGCCACGCCTGGAAGCTGGCCCTGGAGTCCCAGACGCTGAAGGTGGAGTGCGTCGCGCCGTCGTCGACCTTGTCGTCGCGGCGCAGCAGCAGGAAGCCCTTGAAGCCGGCGAAGTCCGCCAGCGTCGAGGACCGGTCCGCGAAGCGCCGCTCGAACTCGTCCTCGGAGCCCTCGGCGACGGGGAAGCGATTCATGGCCACGAAGACGTCCGACGGGAGCGTCGCCTCGCCGTCGGCGGCGACGCGGCGCCAGCCCTCGCCGTCCGCCGGCGGCGCGCCGGGCAGGCCCAGGGGCAGCAGTCCCTCCCAGGCGGCGACCTTGGGCTTGCCCTTGGTGTTCTGGAGCGTCGCCACGAGCATGCCGGCGACGCCGGCGACGGTGCCGCCGCCGTGCGCCTCCTTGAAGGCGTCGCCCTTCTTCCAGGCGTCGAAGTTCGCCTTCGTCTCCCAGACCGTCGCCGAGACGTAGTTGACGTCGTCCGCCGCGTCCGCGTCGTCGACGCGGCGGAGCATGCAGAAGAAGCGGAAGCCGTCGAGGTTCCCGAGGCGGCTCTCGCGGTCGGCCCAGCGCTTCTCGAAAGCCGCCTCGCGGCCCTTCTTCACCTACCAGAGGGATGTTTATCGCCTTGATTACAGTGCTTAGCCTCACCTTGAAGCGGTTCTGCACGACGTAGCGCTCGGCCGCGAGGCGCTCCGCGCCCGTCGCCGCCGGCGCCGCCTCCACGGTCGCGGCGCGGAGGAGGGTGCGCGTCGACGCGCCGCGCGGCGCCTGGAAGCCGCGCGCGGCGGCGAGCGAGAGCGCGGCGAGGATGATGCTGCGCGCCCCCATGGGTGAGAGCGGTGTGTGTGTGCGGCCAGCACGGGCGGACGAGCTCGGCAGAGTGCACCTTGTGAGAGCGCGGTTCAACGTGCTTATATCTTCTTGGGTGTTTCGGCCCCCACCACGGGCAGCTCTGGGCAGCCAGGAACTGAAGGAACCGCGGTGCCCTTGGGGCCGAGCGGCGGGGCTCGCCTGGCGGTCGCCTCGGGGCCCCGCGGCCGCGGTCGAGCGCGGCGGCGGACGCCTGAAACTGGGCGACAAGAAGATGGCCGACGCCGCCAACGCCGCCCTGGCGTCGAGCGCCCTGGCGTCCCTGCGCTGCGTGGCGACGCAGGTCGAGGGCCTGGAGCAGCAGTTCGCGGCGCAGGCGGAGCTCGTGGCCGCCGCCGTGGGCTCCGGCGCCGTGAAGCCCGCCGTCGTCGACGAGCTGCGCGCGGCGGCCGCGGCGTTCGCGCGGGCCGCGGAGCGCGCCGCGACGACGGCCACGGCCGCCGAGGCGACGCTCGCGGCCGAGGAGGCGTCGGCCAAGGAGGCGGCGCTCGCGCAGCTCGGCGTGGGGCGCATCGCCATCACGAAGGCCGAGGCCGTCGACGAACCGGTCGAGGAGGCCCGCGCGGCGCTCGAGCTCGACGCGGCCGTCGCCGTCGCGGAAGACGCGACGCTGCTCTCCGAGCCGGAGAAGAAGGAGGGCGACGAGCGTCCGGCGTCGCCCCGCAAGAGCCGCGCGTCCGTGCGCCTGCCCCCGAGCGAGTGCCCGTCGCACCCGGACCAGCGCGGCGACCCGCTGCTCGGCGAGGCCGTGAGCCCCGACGGCGCGGACGCGCCGCCCGCGGACTTCCAGACCGTGGGCAAGATCTTCGAGCAGTACGACGCCCAGGTGGGCCAGCACGGCGAGTACCCGCGGTCCATGATCTCGCCGAGCGGCATGTTCCGCCTCGCCTGGGACGTCTTCATCGCGCTCTTCATCTTCTACGTCCTCGTGACGGAGCCGCTGTCGATGGGCTTCTGGGACCCGCGCATGCTCCGGGGCTCGACGGCCATCGGCACGGTGAACCGGGTCATGGACGTGGTCTTCGTCGTCGACCTGGGCCTGAACTTCCGCACGGGCTACTTCACGGTGGACGGCGTCCTGGTCATGGCGCCCGGCGCCGCCGCGCTCAACTACCTCGTGTCGTGGTTCCCGCCCGCGTGGACATCAAATCTTCACCCCGACTTCAATGGGCGCGTATGCGACCTTTGTGACACGAGCGCGTCCGTCGTGCTTCGAGAGCTCGCCGAGAGCACTCGATTCGTCCAAAAATCGGCCGCATCGACATCGATTCGACAGAGAGTTCCGAAGTTCGGTCCGCGCAGGTTCCCGCTCGACTTCATCTCGTCCATGCCCCCCGTGCTCGAGGTGTTCCTGGCCATCGCGTCGGCGTCCGCCGGGGGCATGTCGAGCCTGAGCTCCGCCAAGGTCTTCAAGCTCATCAAGGTCATCAAGGTCTTCAAGGCGCTGCGCATCGGCAAGTTCCTCAAGCTCCTCAACAACGGCGAGACGGACGCGGCGATGGCGCTCGAGGAGTTCATGACGTCGAGCCTGGGCGTCACGGCGGGCAAGGTGCTGTCCATCATCTGCTCCTCGTTCCTCATCGCCCACCTCCTGGCCTGCTTCATGGCCATCTCCGGCGACGGGTGGCTCCGGACGTACGACCCGCGCGCGTACGACGACGACCCCGCGTCGCACTGGTCCTGGCGGCGCCGGTACCTCGCGGCCATGTACTGGGCCTTCACGACCATGACGACCGTGGGCTACGGCGACATCACGCCCGCGGGCGACATGGAGCGCATCTACGCGATCTTCGCGATGCTCATGGGCGTGTCGTTCTACTCGTACATCATCGCGTCCGTGTCGTCCATGGTCTCGAGCATCGACTCGAAGAACGCCATCGAGCTCGAGCGCATGGAGCAGCTCGCGGCCTGGATGGACCACTACGAGATCCAGCCGTCGCTCCAGCGCCGCGTGCGCCGCTTCTTCAAGCAGTTCTACTGCGAGCACAGCGCGATCGACGACGCGTACATCTTGGAGAAGCTCGCGCCGAACCTCCAGGAGGCCATCTCCCGCTACCTGCTCCACGACTTCATTTTAGAGCACGCGCTCTTCGCGAACCTGCCCGAGGGCGCGCTCTGGAAGGTCATGCTCATCGTCCGGTCCATGAAGTACGACGGCGACGCGTGCATCGTGCAAAAGGGCGAGCCGAACGTCGCGCTCTTCATCTTCAAGGAGGGCGACGCGTACCTCGAGGGCGAGTGCTGCGACGGCCCGGACGCCGACATCGAGCTCGAGCCCGGCGACTCCTTCGGGGAGCCCTGCCTCCTCGGCGTCGAGGACAACTCCGACGTCACCGTGACGACGCGCTCCAAGTCCGAGTTCTTCTACATGCGCCGCGACGTCTTCCTCGACTCGTTCCACAACCTGCCGGAGATCATGGACATCATGACGCGCAAGCGCCACCTCTACGACAACGCCGCGGTCCACACGCGCGGCCGCGACGGCTCCATCGCGCGGCGCTCGACGCACGAGGGCGCGCGGCCGACCGAGCCGCCGCCGCCGGCCAAGGTCCTCGCGAACCAGAAGACCAGCGCCCGCGCCATGGCCCACCCGGCGGCCGCGCCGCCCAAGGTCGCGACCGCGGCCAAGCGGAAGTCCGCGAACCCCTTCACCGGCGCCCCGTCCAAGGGCTAGCCCCCGCCCCCCCGCCTCGCCCGCCCCCGCGTCTCACGGCGTTCAAATTTCTTTAAAGGGGGCGTGGGGGGGCGCTCGCCGGCCGCTGCGCGGCCTAGTCGCGGTGGATGTGGACGTGGACCTCGACGGGCTGGGGCGCGGGGTAGGGGTACGCCTGGGGCGCGTAGGTGATGGGCATGCTGGGCTCGGCGACGGCGACGAGGGACGACGGCGCGGCCTTGGCCGGCTCGGGCGCGGCGGGCTCGGCGACGACGGGCGCGACGGCGACGGCGACGGGCGCGACGGCGACGGCGACGGGCTCGTCGTCGGCGTCCGCGGCCGAGTCCTCGCCGGAGTCGTCGGGGACGATCGTCGAGAAGACGGGCGCGTGGACGGGCTCCGGCGCGGCGGCCGGCGGCGCGGCGGCCGCGGGCGCGCCGTCGTCGAGGGCCTCCTCGGCCTTGGTGACGCGGCGCTGGATGGCCGCGAAGGCGGGCTTGGCGGGCTCGACGTGGGCGATGGCGACCTTGATGGCGTCGGCGATGTCGTCGGCGTCGTCCGCGCCCTCGGCGGCCGTCTCCCGGCGCTGGAGCGCGCGCTCGCGCATGCCGCGGACGGAGCCCGTGGCCTTGCGGCGGGGCCCCGCGTCCGTGTTGTAGCGGCGCGCGGCGAAGGCCGAGCCGCCCTCGGCGACCGTGTTCGCGCGGCGGACCTTGGCCGCCTCGAGCTTGGCGAGCGACCCCTCGAGCGACGCGACCTTGGCCAGCAGGGCCTCGACGGCCGCGTCCTTCTCCTTGGAGCCGCCGCCGTTGAGGTTCAGGGCCGTGAGGGCCGCCTGGGACTCGCCCAGCTTCGCCTGGACGTCGACCTGCAGGTCGCTGAGGAAGTGGCCGAAGAGGTGCGCGGGGATGTTGTGGCGCTGCGCGATCTCCTCGTCGGACGTCTCCTCCTTGCCGACGAAGCGCTCGCTGTTGAGGTGCTGCTCCGTGGCGAAGATGACGTAGCGCGCGTGCATCTGGAAGATGAGGCGGATGAAGAAGGGGCCCCGCCACATCTGGCCGTAGTGGTAGACCTCGTACGTGCCGTCGTCCTTCTGGGCGTAGCCGAAGTTCTGCACCATCTCCCAGAGCGTGTAGCCGAAGAGCGCGTCCGTGCACTTGAAGCGCTCCTTCTTGTTGAAGCAGATCGTCGCCTCCTCGCCGTCCTCGTCCTCGGCGTTGCACTCGTCGAACTGCATCGACACGACCATGTTCGACACGATCGGCGGCAGGCCGAACGTGTGCACGTGGCCCGCGTCGTCGAAGGAGCCGCTGCGCATCATGAAGTCCACCATGAACGGGAAGACGCAGAAGATCTCCATGAAGTCCTCGTTGCCGTAGAACTCGGCGAGGTCGTTCGGGTTCGCGCCTGCGCGGGAATACGACCGTCTCGCGCGCGCGACGACGGCGACGGCGTGCGGGGCGCGGGCGCGCGCGGGTCGTGAAGCGGTGGTCGTAGAAGTTGTCCGCCGACCCGAAGAACGTCTGCCCGGCGATCATGACGCCCGTCAGGCCGCCGGCGGCGAGCACGAGCGGCTTGCTGCTCAGCTTCTGCCCGATCTCGAGCGCCTTCGCGCCCGACGTGATCTTCTGGGCGCCCGCCTTCATGGACGGCGCCATCTTCGCCGCCACGGACCGCAGCGACGAGAACATGGCTGCGGTCCGCGCGCGGAAGGCAAGGCGCGAGGCAGTCTCTAGTGGCTCACGTGGACGACGACGTCGGTCCAAAGGCGGCGCGCCGGGCCGGCGACCACAAGCCAAGACGAAGGCGCCACGTGACTGACGACGCCATCTCGAAGGTGCGACGCGCGACGAACGCCTCCGCCGACGCCCTATACTTCGTCGCTGCCGTCGCCGCTGTCGCCGACAGCCGCCGCAACGCCGCGCGACGCGCCGGTGTCGACTCGCGCTCGAAAAGCGTGGTCGCAGCCGACGTCATCGCTGTGGAGCTGTGCGGCACCTTGTCGACGACGCGCGACGGCCCGACGGCTCCTCTGGCTGCGCCGGCGGCCCCGTCCCACCCTTCCCCAACCCCCGCGGCGCGCGGTAACCCACGCGCGACCGCTCCCGCCCGCGCGGGCCCGCGTCCGACCGCGCCGCGCCGCCCGCAGGACCGAACCATGCTCTCCATGCTGCCCAGACCAACGTTTTTCCGCCTCGCCATGACGGGCGGGTTCGCCTACGGCGCCTACTACTGCGTCGACATCGCCGTCAAGGCCCTCAACCACGACAACATCGTCTGGCACGGCTCGGACAACGGCGCGCCGCCGCCGACGGTCCAGGTCTTCATGAAGGAGGAGGTGGACCAGGCGCCCGCGCTCAAGCGCATCTGGCGCACGTCGACGCCCGGCGGCTTCGGGCGCCACAACACGAAGGTCTCCGAGGAGGGCCAGCAGCCGACGGTCTGAGCGCCGCGGCGCCGCTCCGGCCGAACCCGAGCGGAGCGCGCGCGCGGCCCGGCGGACTGGCGGTCCGGGTCGCGAGCGCGCTCTCCGGCGCGCGCTCTCGCTCGCTCGCTAAATCCCACCCTTGTTCACACACGGCCGATTCGAGGTCGGCCGGGCTCTGCGTCGCTGTTTTGAACAGCGCGGTTTCGACGGATATTTAGTCGATCGACTCCGGCGAGAGGCCCGGGCGGTTCGCGAGGGGCGTCGCGCGTTCGGCGTCGTCGGGCGGCGTCCCGTAGCCGACGGGCGCGCCGTCGCGGAAGGGCCGGCGGAGCTCGAAGGCGCCGAGGTCGCGCTTGACCTCCGCCTCGCCCGCGGCGTCGCGCTCCCGCGCTTCCATGAGTTCGACGCGCGCGCGGATCTCGTCGTCCGTCGGCTTCCGCCACGCCGCCGACGCGCGGGGCGGCGGCGTCCGCGCGGCCGAGGACCACGCCGACGACGCGGGCGACGCGCGCGGCGCGGGCGGCGTCTCGCGGACTGAGGGCGTCTCGCGCGGCGCGGGCGTCTCGCGGGGGGACTCGCGGAACGACACCTCGCGCCGGACGGCGTCGCCGGGCGCGTCGTCCGGCGCGGCGTCGCGGAGGTCGAGGAGCTTCTTGATCAGCTCCCGGCGCTCCTCGTCGGTGTACTCGCTCGCCCGCTCCGCGGACATCTTCGTGCGCCGCTCCGGGAACTCGGCCGACGGCGCGGGCTCGTCCTCGTCGCCCGGCGGCGGCCCGCGGCCCGCGAGGCCGTCGGTGCCGAGGTCGTAGCCGAGCTTCGCCTCGACCCACGCGAGGCGCGCCTTGAGCCTACGGACGGGTCCCTCGAAGGCGCGCTCGAAAGAACGGCGCGGCGCCGCGGACGCGAAGTAGCGGTGCTCCGCCAAGGCCCGCGTCGTCCGCCAGTGCGGCGCGGCGACGGCCAGCGCGACGAGGTCCACGCGCCGCGCGTCGTGCGCCGCGACCGCCCGCAGCGTCCCGCCGCCCTCGCAGTCGAGCGAGAGCCTCAGGACCGCGCCCGCGCCGTCGCGCGCCTCCGCCGCGAGGTCCCGCACGAGGCCGGCGAAGCCGGCCCAGTCGCACTCGAGGCCCTGCGCGCGCCGCAGGCCCTCGAACGCCGCCTCGTCGACGTCCGCCTCGAGGTGCGAGAAGAGGTCCGCCTCGCTCAGGAGCTCGACGACGACGCGCGCGTCGCTCGTCGCGATGACGCGGAGGCGCCTCGCGTCCTTGACGAGCGTGTCCTCGCGGTCCCGCAGCACGACCTCGACGGGCACCACGTCGTCGAAGACCCAGGCGCCGTCGCCCCGCAGGCTCGGGTCGAAGGCCGCCGTCTCGTCGCGCCACTCGTCGTAGTCGTACTGGGGCGCGCCGGGCAGCGACCCCGGCGACCGCTGCGACGCGAGGCCCCGCTTCACGGCCTCGTCGGCGTCCATCACGAGCGATATTGGGCAGGCTTCACGGACGAGCGATATCCGGCAGGCTCGGCCTCGTCGGCGTCCATCACGGGCAGCCAAGTGGGCAACCAAGACGTTGAAGGACGACTTGAAGCGCTCATTGCACCAGGCTCCCCGGCTCTGCCGAGCTGGGCCGGCTCGAGGCCGGGCGCGAGGAGCGGGCGCGCCGCCGAGCCATCATGGCGCAAGACGACACTCCCGCGACGGACGCATCGAAGGAGGACGCGCCTCTCACGACGACGGCGACGAACGCGATCCTGCCCAAGGCCGTGCCCCGCTGGCAGGAGGCCTGCGGCGCCTTCGACGTGTCCTTCGCCGTCGGCGACGGCGGGGCGCCGGAGTCGCTCCGCGCGGACGCGGGCGCGTTCCTGCGGCTCCGCGACGAGCTCTGGCTCGAGGTCGACAAGGGCCAGCTGCCCGGCGACGTCGAGCCGAAACTCCGCGAGGCCTCCGCGTCGCCGCGCGGCGCCGCGGCCGCGGCCGAGGTGCTCGAGGCCTGGCTCGGCGCGCTCTGCGCGCGCGACGCGAGCCGGAGCAGCGGCGCGCTGCGGGCCTTCGCCGACGACGGCGGCGACGGCGGCGCGGGCGGCGGCGCGGCGCGGTTCCTGCTCCTCGGCGTCGACGCGGCCGCGGTCCGCGTGCCGCGGCGGTCCAAGGTCAGCGGCGTCGCCTGGCTCGAGGCCGGCGAGGCGGCCCAGTGGCAGTGGAGCCTGAAGACCGGCGGCCCCAAGCACCAGGACGTGCGCTTCTCCGCGCGGTTCCTCGCGGGCGGCGAGCGGGGCCTGATGGCGCGCGGCTTCGCGTTCGGCGCGCACGACGACGCGCGCTTCGCGCCGGGCGCCGTCGTCGTCGAGGCCGACCGCTTCGCCTGCTGCGACGACGACGACGCCGAGTGCGTCGGGTCCTTCGCCGCGCCCGAGGACGGCTGGCTCGCGCTCGTCAGGGCAGGAAAAGAGAGCGAAATTCCCAACTTCAAAGGCTCCTATCTCGGCCGCTTTCCACTCGTTTTGGCTGATTTTTGGACGAGCGATCATCTCTCGGAACGGTCTCGAAGCGTGCATGCTTTTCCGGAACGCGCGCGCGCGGAACACTCACGTTGAAGCGACGTTGAATCTCTCTTTTCCTGCCCAGGCGCTCGTCTTCGAGAACGACGCGCGGCTCAAGCCCCGGGAGCTCTGGGCGCGCGTGGGCACCTGCGACGGCGCCGCGGCGGCGGCGGCGGCGGTGGCCGCCGCGGAGAGCGCCGCGCGGCGGCCGCGGCCCCGGGGCGACGACGCGGGGTCGCTCGGCGACCGCCTCGCGGGTTGCGCCGAGGGCGCGACGCTCGTGCGCGTCGCCGTCGCGTCCGACGACGAGCTGCCCCCGCCCGCGAAGCGCACGTCCGTGACGGGCCTGCACGTGCGCGACAAGCTCAAGGCGGCGCTGGGCAAGGACGACGAGCCGGCCGACGGCGGGCCGACGCGCGCCGCGGCGCTCGCGAGGATCGGCGAGCTCGAGGCCCAGCTCGCGGACTGCGCGGCCCGCGCCGACGCGGCGCTCGCCGCCGCCGTCACGGAGCGGGAGCGGCGCGAGACCGAGGCGCGGTCCCACGCACACGAGCGCGCGGCGCTCGAGGGCGCCGCGGCGGAGTCCGAGGACCGCGCCGCGCGCGCGGCCGTCCGCGCGGCGGCGTCGCTGGGCGCCCTGCGCGCCCTCGTCGACTACGAGCTCCGCGCCTTCGCGCCGCGGCGGCCG